TACATTGTGTTGCTTTAAAGGACCAGTGTGTAACATGTAGTGGCATTAAGCCTGTAGGAGAAACTACAGTGACTGAGAAACGAAAAGCCCATATCTAAAGCCAGTGTTTGGTTTGTCCGTTCCGGGCCACTGTAGAAACATGGCAGATCAGAATGGCAGCCTGCGTGGAAGAGGACCCGCTCCCTCTGTAGATAAAATCAGTTAATTATACAGTAACAAAATCACAACTATTCTTATTTTCAGGTGATTATACACTTATGAAAACATATGAATATTATATCCCTCCTTCCTAAATGTAACACACTGGACCTTTAAGACATTTAGTAAGTGTATTATAGTAGGCATGGTTGTTGTTTTTTTATCTATTTTATTTCTTGCTAGGTGAAAATAAATGATTATCAAGTATTTTATCAGTTATTTTCTGAGTTGGTGGATTCATTATTTAGTGAAGAAAATACAGAAAAATCCTTATAACAAGTTTGGTGAGCTAAACAAAGTTTTTGTTCACCAAGTCCCAAACCCAAAAGTAATTACGATGCTACAATACAGAGAAAACTGAGATTCTCACATTATAGAGGCTACAGATCAGCATGATCAGATTAATTGTATAACTGCTTCAGCAGCTTGTTCGAGCACAGCAAAATGAATCCAAAGATCATATGTACACAACATCTGCAGTATTCATTACATTATTGCTCTGCATGAAAGTAAACTTTTGTGGCTATATTTGACCACGAAAGATGCCACAGTCAGCTGTATGCCAATTTCTACTAGTTAGAGAAGGGAGACGAGTTGCAGTTAAAAAACAATCTCACCATTAGGTTCAATGTTTCCTAGGTCAAGAGTGAACTGTGGACCTCAATAAAGTTTACAATTCACATACCCCCTTCTCTGTTTCAATCAGTTTTTATTCCATCTCACTTTGCATCCACATGAGGCGGACCTAGGTGCAACTGAATTTGAAGCAGTTCTCTTTATTCCAGGACTGTTAGTTTCAAAATAGGCTCAACAGGAAAAACTTAGTCTGGCAGCTGAGCAGTTTTGAAAATGTTATGCAAAGTTCCACTGGGACTTTAGGAGAGAGGGAGTTAGTTCATTGCCACTGAGCTAAACTGAAGAACAGTGTCTGACATCAAACTGATTTGAAGAATAGGCCTAAATAATTTCTCCTTCCAAAAACATACGCTGTAATTTAGATGTTTCAATCAGTATTATAACATACTGGGGGAAAATACTAGTACTATACACATACACAATGTACACAAAATAGCTGTGAAGATCACAGATCTGAGTGAATATCACTACAAAGTCTAGCTAAAGTAAGGCTGTCTGTTTGCTTTTCCTTAGTGTAACCTAGGGGACAGAGGGTCCGGGGCGGGGCAGAGGGGAGGTTGGCCAAGCAACAGTTTGAGTTATGATGAGGCAATTTTAATGATGTTCTGGTCCCTGCACCAAAGCCCCAGTTGACTCTTTTCTGTTTCGGCATGAGAAAAAAACACAACATTCCTATTTTCCTCTGGTGCCAAAAGTTAATTGAAAACATTTCAGGGCAAAGTATGGTCCGGGGCCCCCATATGATTCTCATCCCTTCATTATCCTCAGCAATAATAAAAAGGCATTACAATTATTAATGGTTGGAGTAGGGGCCTGTTCTCTTAAAGTGACAGTGGCAGGCTTTTGCTTCTCGTAACAAAGGCCCAGGAATGCCTCCACCACATCACTTTGTTGGTATTTTTTAACAATCGCTGCCATTGCAGGATTTATTATTTGGGTCTCTGTTTTTAAGATGGTTTAAAGTCTAATGATAGCTTTTGTTTTTCAAAGTTAAGTCATACTGTATAATAAAGTGCCAAACTATGATAAAGAAAGTTATCCTCATAGCTTCAGAGAAGTTAGAGAAGACCACGAAACTTCTAATTGTAAGAGAACTATGGACACAGTCCCAGCAGGAGGTAGACCAAGCAATAAAGCTGAACTTTCTCACATAACTCCTCTGTCTTCCTCTGGGAGAGCTGTCTCCTCATGCTCCCCCACTCCCTGAAAGGGGTGACAGAGGAAAAGAGTGAATGAAGTGCCCCTGCATTGTGCTGCGGCACCATTGTGTATTTTGCATCTCCATAATAGAGGTGCCACTCGACTTCTCTTCCAATCAATGGGCTGGAGGGCCCATCTCTTTTCCTTGAAAAGCAACATGGCTGCCATCAATGGTTTCAAGACCCATTATCACAAGTGAAGGAGGGGACGCTGGCTTTTTTGTAAGTAGAGAGAGCTGACTGACTCATAACATGAGTCACAAGCATGTAAACAGACACATGTACCCTGCGCCATCACTATCACTGCACATTTGTGATGTATAAAGTTCATTTTTCTTAGCAACCACTTTCTGTCACCACAGCTCAAGAAACGTACTGCATGACTAAAACAATTCTGTTGCTAATTTATAAAACAAAAAAAACACTTTTATATTTATAAAGACTTTAAAGCAAGTAAATGTTTGCTTTGAATTCTTTTAAGGCTTATAACCTGTTCAGTTGTACTGACACTATGACTAAACTAACGCATCTCTTTTACCACTGAATAGTAACACCAAGAATACAAAAATAACTGACTGAAGAGGAAGCGATTTAAGATTTAAGATTTAAGATTTTAAAATAATCAAAGCTATCTATATGCCAAAGTGTTAAAACCACTGTTAAGTGACTGAAATGACTACTTTCAGAGGTACTGGTGAATAGCAGTGTTAACTGCTTTCAGACGAGTTTGTTCGAAGCTTTTTATCTTTCTCAAATTATTTCAGTAAATTCCATACAATGAATCTGAAGTACTTAAATCAGAGATTATTGAAAATGAACCAAACTTGCCTCGCACTTCTTTAATCAATATGTGAAGCCCGAAATCCTTTAAAAAAACAAATTAAAGAGAGTGACACAACTTCCAAGCGGATCATTTTAAAACTCTTATTTATTTAATGTGCATGTACATTCAGAGGAGTGTGTTCATAATGGGCACTTAATATCTCCATTCACCCAAACACATACATCTTTTTTTTTTTCTCAGTGTGTCTTTAGTGAAGACTTCTAACTAACACATGGGGTGAGGATAAACAAACTGACCGAACACTTCTTGGCTCCATTCGGGCTGCAAATCCCCAAGAGGAGGAGTTTTACCTTTCTCTCGTCTGTTTGAACAGTTTTCAAGAATGAACACTTTATACCTTACCCAAACATCCATGTTTGCAAGGTCAAGTGTTTCATTCTTAAGAGCTTCTTGTTTCAGATGCATTATCTGCGCTGGGATTTAGACACATTTCGGTAGCTTACATCAACTTTGGTTTTTAATGAAGGGGTTGTGGAAAAAGTCTGTACGGCTGGTAAAGGAAAATTGCTGTGCTTTCACAGAATGCTTCTGATATGGTCACATTATGGTGAATAAAAACCAGTAAAAAGACTTTTAGGCACTTTTAGACAAAACATTTTTCCCTCCTCTGTGGTCATAATGCAGTAAAAGTGTGTGACTCACCTATTTATACAGTGCAAATCTCTTGTCCCTCATAAACAAATACTTTGACAAAAACAAGTTTATACAATATACTGTACAATTTATCTTTATATAGCCGACATAGAAAAATAGTCTCCTTCAGCATTATTAGAACATTTTTGAATGTGTAACTAAAATATAACTAATACTACATATGGTAATGATCTGATCCACAAACCGTCATTTGCATGCTTTTAACATGCGTGATTAACAAACAGCAAATGTCCTAAATTGTACACATTTGTGTAGATCTGTAGCAGGAAGTTTAGGGTTGAATTTAACTGCCCCAAATGTTTAAGTTTAAGGACAAACATGGCTGAGACAACTTTTTAGTGATGTGAGTTGATTTCTGGTGTTGATTCACAATGAGAGAGACCACTGACTCTCTGCCCTTCATGGCAGCAGCTTTTCAGATTAATTTGGTTAAAACCAAAATGGTGGTCAGGACATTTAGCACAGTCTGACAAGGTTTAGAGTCACACGAGTTTTCCTCATACTGATAATCCTCCTGGTCGATGTAATCATCCTCAGAATCCTCCTCAGAGTCTGAAAACCCGCTTCCCGCGAACCTGTCACTAGAATCAGAGCAGAAGGTTTTCATGCTGACTTTTATGTACTCGCATATGTTCCTCTCTGTGCCATCACATACACAAGTGTCTAGCTGCTGCGCTTTCGGTATGGAGCGCATGTTGGCTATCACCCTGCGGCACCCATCCGAGCACCTTTCCCCTCCGAAAAGTTTCCTGCAGTGGAATAAATAATCCCTCATAGCAGAGCTACAAGAGAGGTCCATCTCGCACTGCCGCCGGGCCTCGGTGCAGCCCATGGTGCTGGTCCGCGGCAGGCACGGCTCGATGGCTTGTTTTGTGCTCCTGCAGACCGGGTCCAGGGCGCAGTCGCAGTCCTCCAGAGCCGGACCACTTTGAGTTAGGTTGAGCTGAATGAGAGAGGATATGCAGTGACTGGGACACTTCTTGCGGTCCCCATTGATGACAGCCGAGCAGGCATAAAGGTACTGATCGTACGCGTAATGGCACTCTGGCTCTCCGTGGCACTTGAGGATGGCTTTCCAGCAGACCAGCCGGCGGCTGTGGTTAGGAGATCCGACACATAAACCGATTATTAGGATCAATACACTGCATATGAAAACCGCTGTCCGCTCCATCAATATGGCACGACTTGCCATTTCCAGGAAGAATGAATCTTAAAAATGTTAGACTTCATCAGGGCTTCTGTAATTCCATCACGCTGCGTCAAAACCAGGTTCCTCCTAGATGGTTTCATATCATGTCAGAGTCGGGGACTTGAAGTCAGCGAGGCGCCACAAAGTAAGCCACAGCTCATCAGGGATGTCGATAACAAATCAATCATGTCCAAAAAAAAACAAAAAAGTTTTGATACAAAATTTCCAGTTCTCGCAAGTCCCAGTCCGTGTTTGGAGGATTCAAGTGCGCATGTGTCGTACAGCACAGGCGGTAACAGTTTTAAGAAAATTTTAAAAAACCTTATTAAAATATGAATTCCCCGAACTGTTCCGAAAGACTATATATATATATATATCCTGGAAGTCTCTCATCCGCTTTCACTTCCCAACCGCATCCACCCAGAGACCAGGACTGCAGGCGCTCTGTGATGAGGGCTGTGTAGTGATGGGATGATTAGATTACTGCAACCACCGCGTCTGATTGGTCCAATAAACTGTTGTGATTCTGTCGTCACTCGCGGGCAGTGACGCAAGCTACTGTTTTTAAACTGACTTTCCGGGAGAGTTACTTTTTATCCTCTTTATGAAAACAGAACTTGGAAGTTTTTCAAGATTATTAAATTGTTTAGAATATCTAATTTAATATAAAAAAATAAAAATCTTAAAATTTAGATAAAAAGAAAAGTAGATCCAACTGTTTATTAAATTAAAGGCTCTAAATCAGTGTTTTATTACCATCTAAAAGTATATTAAAGTTGTTTAAAATGGAAGAAAGCCTATATGATTTGAGAGCAATATGTAATTAAAGGGTCAGCAATGATGTAAAAATACATTGCATTTCTGTTGGTGAATCTATGGAAGAGCTGTACTTAGTGAAAATGTGTAGCACTTTGTAAGTTTAAAAAATGTGTCTAAAGTTACTTTTTGATGTCAAATACGTAGTGTCTTAAAAAAACAATAAGCTTATGGAGCTTTTTTAAAATTTTCTTATAGAAATAGGTAGATGGATTGTAAGTCATCTTTCCTGTAGTCTCCTGTTTTGTATTATATTACTGCAAAATTCGGATTTCAAATGTTACATCGTTCAACTGCTGTGGTCTGACTCTTGAACAATTGTTGGTCCCTGCGATGAGACCGGTCTGTAATGAGGCACAGTTTCTTTGAAAAACACTGGGATGTGTTGCCTCCCCGCAGGGAGGGACGACAGCTGTTATAACACATGTGGAGCTCCTGTCTTACACTTTCCACCATGAAACATAACAAGCCTTGATTGCATAGCTATGATACAGCATACTCGTGAACGCTGCACTGACACATTTGCACACACCAATAAAGACGTGACAGCTCAGAGGTTTAAGAGCTATGATTCCCAGACATGGAACTGGGAAAGTACCAGCCTTCACATGAGTAAAGTAAAAGAAAAAAAAAACACATTTGGCTGTTTTTACTGCCCATTCTGTGCAAGTGTAAGCAAGCAGCGGTGTGAAATCCTAATGACCCAGTACCTTTTGGTAAAGGGTATTTCCTATTTCCTAACAATAACACTTACACAGAAAAAAAAAAGTGTGAAGAGGAATAATACCACAGACACACACCATGTAAACAAACACGAAGCCACTAGGAATGAAAACAGAATGGATTTGCTTGGGATCTTGAAGCCAAGAGAACAAAGTGTAGAAGAGAAAACCACTCAGTCATTCTCATAACTCTGTTCTTCTGACCCTGTCACATCACAACACTATGACCACAAAGATCTGGCAGCTCTCAGGGGACCCTCAGACCCCCACTTCCAATTAGAGAGATTAGAGAAGAGTCAAGACAAGAGCAGAAGAGTTTCTTAGCCAAACAACCCAAACAGCCCCTTCCACCTCATCCAGCTGGCATACCAGAGCAACAGGATGACTGCAGACTCAATTTAAAGCAACATCAAAGTGGAGGTTAGAAATGGCAAACTGCTCAAGGGTCTCCATTAACTATTCAAGGAACCTGACATCAGCCCAGACCACTAAGGCCAAAGCCGGCACTTAACAGAGATAGATATGGGTGCTGTGTCACTGCTGACGACGTGACTATTCAACTTAGTTTTTTTTACTTCTGTGCAAAGTTTGGGTACCAACACACTCCGGTGTACGAGGCCTGTACAAAGCTTTCTCTTCAACAACCGGGAGCAAACTAAAGAGCACACACTGACCACACTTGCATTTCCCTTTTAAGAAGGAGTTCATAATGCATAGCAGAACCAAAATCCCATCAGTGTTGGATGGCAGCCAGATAAGAACAACGGCCAGATTCAGTTGAGCCAGCAGCTCTGTATGATGGAGCAGGCAGCTGCTCTCCCCCCAAACTGTACCTCTTAAATTGCTCTAATACATCACTTAGATTCTTTACTTTTGAACAAAACTTCTCAGATTGTTTTAAGGGAAATATGAGGCCAGTTTCCTTTGCAGTTTTGCCTTCCATTTATTTCAAACGAGTACCTCAGGATATGCATCCTCTACATGCGGTTGTTCATGGCGACTTGCATATAATAGTGTTTCCAGAATTGGAATGCGGTTCCCGAGAGTAGATTTGTAAATACTCATGCAGAGACAGACATGCTCTTCAGTTTGTCTCCACTGCTGTCAGAAGTCATTACACACAAGCTGCTATGCCAGAACAATTCACTGAACTTTGTATTCAAGTGCTTCCAAGCCCAGAGAGAGGCAGAGAGAGAGGGGAGGGAGGAAAAGGAGTCAATATTAAAAAGCTGCCAAGTGTTTTTCTGCCTGCATTTTTTCATTTTTCTGTGGCTCATGGAAAATTCTCAGATGTCAGGCTTAGATATGTTGATATTTTCCCTTCACTCTTTCACATGAAAGAAAGGGATTCATATGCCTTTAGTGAAAACAAGAAAATAACTTTTTGTTGGTCTGTACATAGTCATGTTATGAATATGCAAGTGTCATCTTGAATCAAGTCAAATAACCCAGAACTGCAGTCATTTTGTTTTCTGGTAGACACCTGAAAAATGCAAAAGAGAAGTAATCACCTGAATCAAAGTGATTTTAGCCACACTGGCGGCATCATGTTGTTCAACTACTGGATGGAATGCCATGAAATTTTAAACGGACATTCATGATACCCAGAACAATTTCTGTGATCCTGTGATATTGTTTCCAGTGCCACTTTGATGTGTACATTTTTGTTTTTTAGTGAAATATATCAATATCTTCAAGATGGATTTTTACTCCCCAGACAATGAATTCTAAAGACTCCGGTGATCTTCTCTTACATCTATTCTATACACTGCCATGAAATTCGGTACAGACATTCATTTTCCTCTCAGCATGAATTCTAATAACTTTGGCAAATAACTTTGCATTTCATCCAGCGCCAAGAATTAATTTACCTAATACTTTTGTTTATGAGCAAATACCTGATACCTGACATTAGCATTTGCATTTAGCTCACCACCATCATATTCTCCTCTCAGTGTGCCATCTTTCCAGTCTCCAGTACGCCCTGTATTTTTATCACAACAGAGATGTTTTAAGATGGTACCACATGTTCTGAAACTAAGTGCATCCCTCTGGGGGAAGCCATGCACCATGGCAGGAAAAGGATTTGACTTTGAACTCACAGAAGACAACAGAGCCACAAGTTCAGACAAGGGTCAGCCTGGTTGTAAAGCAGCCAAAAGTACTGCGAAAGTTATAATTGCCAAAGTCAAAAGTTTGGAAATAAAGATAAACAGATAGACAGTTGTTTTTTTGCATTGGTTTCCCATTAGCAAGACTCTCAGATTCCTTTGGCTATTGTTTCATTGAGCAGATTAACTCCACAATAGGGAGTAACGTTACAAAGAGATTCATGTTCTGGTTGTTATTGTTTCACTTAGGGATTTTGCAGGAAAGCAGATGGGGCCGTTAAATAGATTGGAACAGAGACTTAAACTCCAGACAGAGAAGTAGACGCTGGTTTTGCCATCACAAAAGAGGGTTATTGATAGTGAGTGCTGTTCTAGATTAATGACGCTTGCAATTAAACCTGTGTTATAAGGAACAATAGCAACCCTCGAGGGCTGCTTAGGCTTGAATTAAGGTCATTCTCAGTGACTTTGGTCGGGTAATGATAAGATAACAGAGCCATTTCTCTTCAGTACAAAGTGGGAAAGATAATAAAACCACCAAAATTTACCCAGCAGTAATACCACTGAGGGTATCTGTCTAAAAAGTGAGGCGTGTAGCTATTACAGAAGAAAAAGACACTCTCAGACAGGGGTTTAAGCTTTTGTTTGAAATGTGACCTCTCCTATCCTCTCCAAACGCTGATCACATTTCTCTTCAAGAGGAAATAGCTCCTCTGGGACAGATATGCCACCACGACCTTAACACAGAGAAGTCGTTGTTCACTAGATCAGTACCTTAACAAGACACCTGAAAAGGAAGAAAATGACTGCCCAGCATCCACATTACTAGCGCTGAATAAAAAAAAGGAAGATTACTGAGAAAGAAGAGAGAAAGAATGATTGTAAGCCTGAACCGGTGAGGCTCCTTCATCGACTCCTGTGCGTAAGCTTTAATCCGAGCTAAATTATGGTGATGAGAATAAATAGAGACAGAATCGGGCACAATAATTATTTCTGTGGCCCAATCAATCTTCATGTGACAGTTTAATGACTACTTGTGCCAACCACATTGTTTAGTGTTAGGGATTGCTGGGGTTGCCACTTCTGTGACACCCGAACATGAATGTAAAGATTTGGGACTATACTGCAAATCATAGAATCTGTCATTTTCTTTCAAGCTAAAGTTTGACTTTTTGAGAAATGTGCTTATTCACTTTCTGGTGGAGAATAAGTTAGATTTGAAAAATATATGGCTACAGCCAGCAGTTGGTTTATTATGCACTGAAGCCAAAGTGCAAAAATGACATTTTGCCATTGAACAAGTCATGTGCCAATCTATTTATTGGCTAGTGAACCAACAGAGGTTCCAGGAAGTTTCTGGTCGCAAAATAAATTGTCAATTTGTGAGCTTCAGTTGTACTTATAGGTGGATTTTGTTACCTCCAGCAGAGCCAGACTGGCTGTTTCCAGTCTCCAGTCTGCCAAGCTAAGCATATGTATATCCAACAGACAAGTATGAGAACAGTATCAAGCTAACTCGATTTTCGAAAATGTTGTACTATCCCTTTAAGCCTTCATGTAACACAACATAGAAGGAGGTTGTGTTTTCTTAAAAGATATTGGAGATACTTTACTCAGAGCTACAAGGGATCATTGTGGGATTATGACTCTGCATGCACGTACGCACACAGTACAGTCCCGCTAACAGAGTTTGAGAAGCAGGATACAAGATTGCCAGTTTTTCATTTCCATGGTACATTCTGTAATTCAGTCCGTCTGGCATCCTGCCAATGCGGGGCACATTTTGAGCTCAGTCTTTAAGGCGTAGCTGCTGTTTCGGGAAACAGAAAATGAGATGTGACACAGGGCTTCCCTGACATTTGCCTGAGTAATCACAATGTTTGAGCAGAATTGATGATTGTTTAAATAGCACGGGCCATTGTTCCTAGATTATCTATCTAGCAGCCACAGGAGTATTCTTCAGGCTAGACACAAGAAAGAAGTGGGCTGATTGATGACATTTTGGTGAGTTTTGGAGAGTTCAACTGTTTCAAACCCAGCTGACAAAGGTGTACCTCGTTCCAGCTTAGTGTAAAAGGAACCCGAGATACACAATAACTGCAAACCTTTATAACATGTGACACATCCCACATGCCAAAATATCCAAAGATAGAGACAAACGCAAACATATTCTAGAGTATCCTTTGATTTTTGTTCATGTGGATGGAGATGCCTGTAGTTTGGTGGTTAGATTCCTTCCATCTACATTACAGTTATTGTTTCTAAGCGTACACTACTCACTATACACACATATCCTACAAGCGGAAAAAACACTGACTCTAAGCGTATGAAGATTCTGGTGGTAAGAGCCCAGATGAGGCTGTCTTCTGTGACAGTAACCACATGCATGCTTTTAATCCAAACACACCAGCCTTTTCGAGGCGCAGCACCAGCGGTGGTCTGGTTCAACTGTCCCCATCCATGACACCATATAGTAAATCAAGATCATCTGAGTGGACTTTTTCCCACTTCCACAGACAAATACCACAAAATACCATGGTTACTACTGTATTCGAACCACCACAAACGGAACAAGAAAAAAGATCAACCTTCTGACAGGATTCATGAATCACTCAGACACACGTGCTTGCCAGAGAATATTATTTTGTCCTGATTCTCAGAAATGTATTTTGTGCTGATCCATTGCCAGCTATTTTTCTGAGATATACACCTACTAAAAAGCAGTTGTTATGGACACAGGTCTCATAGATTGACAATCTGCTATCAAAGGTAAACTTGAGAGCAGTTACTGGACCAGCTCAGTGTACTGGAAACATTATTGTTGCCTGGTAACATAACTTTGGACAAAACATTTTTGCCCTCTAAACTGCAATAATGGTTTCTCCCATCCAGCTTGGCTTCAATAGACTTACATCAGCTTTGGTTGCAGTCTTTGACAAGAGTTTTCTCCGAAGTGACAAAAATGTTTTGAGTGTGTAACCAGAGAGTTAAGGGGAGGCTTTCATACAGTGCAACAGTCACTTAGATGTCTGTTTGAATTTGAGATTTTGGATATGGAAATATGAAAAGCGGTCTTGTGATGGGAAACTACCAAGGAAATTTTAGGTGTTTCTACTGTTAGCTCCAAAATAAGAGTATTTCATGGGTGGACAGGATTGGGGATGCATGAAGTATCAGGTACAAATATGGCTCCTTCCTGGACAAACGTTGAGGCACTATTTGGATTAGCAGTTAACTCCAGTCAGGGTGGTCTGGGATACAGAGTTTATGTTTAATTTAAACATAGGCTCTCTGAGTCTGCATACTGTCACTGTGCTGAGAAAAGCCATGCTGATCAGTTAAACAAGAGGTGAAATTGTAGGTTGAATGTGTAGTCTGATGGCTGAAGTTATAAAACCTTTTTGCTGCACACAACCTGGCAGAGAGAATCTTGTTTATAGTGGAAGTCACTGGCTGAATATATATAGTTTTCATCTTTTTCTTATGAGCTACTGTACACTATAGGCACATAATTAGCTGTTTAACAGTCCTATATATTTGGGACATTTCTCAGATTGTGCTACCTAACGTTAACTCAGTCCCATCTTCTGTTACCCTTCACCATGACAAGAACACTAAACTAAAACATACATTTGCTTTGAAAGAGGAAAAGATCTTTTTAGCTTCATGACAAACAGCTATTTATAAATTGAACCAAATAGTTTACTAGCTCAACTGGTGCAGAAATATTGACCACCTGGGAATAACATGTCTGTTTGTACCCTGGCTGGGGGGTGAAGGCTTTGACATTTAACGGCAATGTGGTCCCCAGTTCGTGTCCAGCTGGGGACATTCATTGCATGTCATTTCCCATCTCCCCTCATTTTCCTGTCAACTTTCTACTGTTTGTAGTCTAACAAAGAAATAAAATGTGCCCCCAAAAAATAGCAAAAGAGTCCACAGCTGTGCTATTGGCTTTGTGAGGCTGTAGTATTTAGGCCTAGTGGTGCTTTAAGCTAAATCTTAAACTGGGCATACGCTGTACGATTTGAGCCTGTTTCCCTTTAGAGCCGGACCAAATGTTGGCTGACATTAGACTCTGGCACAATTGAAGCAGAGCTGATTAAAGTTGATTCCCCAAAGTTGGTGCCTTTTTTTCTGCACAAAGTCGCAAACTGAGAGTCTGAAAGGGCCATGGCGACGTTGACGGGAAATACAGAGCAAAACTTTATTGACAATTGTCAATAACCAGCATGGTCTGCTGGCTAAAAACAACATGCTTGTTATAGACTTCTTTTATTTTTGAAAATGTTTCCTTTAATTTCTGCATAAACATAAATTATAGGATCTATGGTCTTTGTGCTCTTCCTTTCCATCCAGCACCAGCAAAACTGAGATGGGCTGCAGAGAGGGAGGGGCTGTTAACTGAGTAAGCTGTCAGCTGCACTGACACACCACAGATGCACCACTATGACACTCTTAATCAGAGTGTAAAGTAAACAGAGCCTGTCTGGACATGGGCTGGGTATCAGTCAGACAGTGAAGGGCTACAACAGTAAACAGGTACTGACCTGTCTTGGTTAGACAGAAAGAAAAGGACAAAACAGTGTCGCTGAAGCAAAAGTAAACATAAAAAAGGCAAATATGTGACATATTGTTTTATTTTATAAATTGATGTTTACCATTCATTTCTATTAACAATAAATCAGTTGGCAGAAGTAGCCATGACAACTAGATTTTTATTCAGATATTCCGGTATGCTACCTAACACTGTTATTTAAAGTCTGTTTAAAAATTATAAATTGAATTGTAAATTTAATTGAACATTGTTCTGTTTTTGTCTGAGAACAAATAAAAGTCAAACAGTGATGCGTCTAGATATGTCTAATCTTATCCTCTTATACATGAGCACACACACGTATGCAGTACGTACACACACACCACACACAGTAGCAAGGGAAAAACAAACAGGCAGGGTTTTGCTTTTCCTGCAAAATCTAAATATTGACTCAGTAACCTATAATCATACACAGTCTGAACAAAATTGAAATAAACAAGTGTGCCTGTAATGTGTAAGTGTTTGTGTGTCTCATGGGCACTGAGGCCCCTGAATGCTGACACTGACAAACACACATAAAACAGAGGAAGTGGTTAAGTTTTTGGTGAATACCAGACAATATGGATTCCATCCAGCACACTGGAGCAACATAAATTATTTTCCATTCTCTACATATACAAAGAAGTTCTTTTGAAAGCGCAGAGCCTTCCGTCTCTGATCAAACATCTGCTATCAATTTACATAATTTAACTTTCAGATGACTCACGTACAATATTCTCACATTAAGAGGCTTTAAATTGCCAAGTAAAAAAGGCAATAAAAATTCCATCATGCTCTCAGAAGAGCTTTAGCACGCCAATGCCAAGTTTCCAAGTGACATCAGCAACCAGTCAGCCACGCAACTGTGTTATTATTGTGTTGTAATGTTATTAAAAGCTCATTAAGTTTCATATCAGACTTTCAATGCGTTTCTTTTTCCTTTGCTGGGAGATACAGTGCAATGTGGAGAAAGATACAGATTGGGTATGCTGACTTAGAAGGCATTGTTGTTATACGGACCATGATGATTGCTTTCCTAAGCAAACTTGATTGATTGAATGAGGCTTTTGTGTTGTTAGCATACTGTTGGATCTTTTGGTTTTTCTCAGTGAGTCTTTATGGCTCATTAGTGAAATGGCAACACTGAAACATTTCTGGCTCTACTGAGGCCTGTCAGACTGTGCTGCTGATGCCAGAAATCATCAGAGGCTAACAAGGAAACACTGAGTCTGAAAGAAATGAAAGTTGTTAATGGACACGGACGAACTGGGTTTTTTTGTTTTTTTTTAAAGAGGTTTTGTCTTCTAACTCTGTGTCATCTCAGGTTAAAAGATCAGTTCAACGTTCTGGGAAATATTCTTATTCACTTTCTTCCCAAGATGAGAAGATCCATAACTATATGGTAAATATGAAGCTGGACCCTGGTTAGCTAAGCTTAGTATAAGTACAATTTCTGGTTAATGAGCTTAAGTAGGCTACTGGAACTATTTATTGGCCAGGCACAGTGACTTTGGTTCAGACAATCTGGGTTTTGTATGGATTAAACAAATAATGTGTTATAATTAGGGAGTTAGAAAAGTTCTGGTAGGTGGAGGTAGGTGGATTAAGCTAAGCTAAGCTAACTAACTGCTAGCTCTAGTTTCAAATCTACAGCATAGACATGAGAGTGGTATTGATCTTATATCTAACTCTAAGAAGGCAAGTAATCAGATTTCCCAAGTGTTTTAATTCTGATATGAGTCATCAACCACATGAGAAGATTACAACATGTCCAGAAAAACTCACATGTATTGTCTCAACAAAAGGACTTCTCTTATTGTTATTGATTGATGGTTTTTCAGAACTCGTAGAAACAATGATGTCCTTTTACTTGTTACTGCAATATCTGGGCTTGCATCCCAAAATCCCATTATGTCCAAACAAAACAGAGTTGGTCTCAACTTTCTTAGCAAGAATATGAAAGGAGAGCATTGTTCATACATACTTAGACATGGGAGAGGCAGGCTGGTTGGATTCCCAGACTGGCAGATCCAATCTGAGTAAGGAAGGTGAAAGACTATGTACTTGGCAGCTTCCAGGTGTGAATGTGTGTCCTGCAATACCTCAGCCCAAAGTGTTCTATTAGGCTTGTTGCTTTCAAAAGCAATTTGAGCAGATGGCCAATGAAGGAACGCAGTATCTTACAGCTAATGTAAAAGGCTTTGTGTGTGTGTGCGCTCGTGTGGTCACAAAACATAATAAAATGACAGATTTGGATGGAAATACAATCTGCAAATAGGCTTATAATGCCATCCAATGTCTCATCCAGTTTTAACACAAAGCACCTTTTGTCCAATCTATAACAACACAGTTCTTGCGCACCATTAGGTCTCAGTGACAGTTGCATTTCTGTGACCAATACCTCTTTACTGAGAAGGCATCAAAGCATTCTGCACACTGACAATGACTTGTGCTCAATTCAAGCTCAGACTGAAATATGAAATAGCAACAATTGGATGGATTGCCATGAAATTTTTGATGCTGACATTTATGTTTAGCTCAAGTACAGCCTTACAGACAGGGGCGGATCTGGAGGGGTCTCAATGGTAACTGATACAGTTGTTAACATTGTAAATAAAGTGTGTACAGGTCACTGACATCCGTCCAATCTGAAATACAGTATGACATTTTTTACCTATGTCCTTAATCCATACATTCACAGAGAACTTTTTGCAACTCACTGAAGAACACAAGCATCTTTTCAGTTGTCTTTATTTAAAAATGTCTCTACAAATAACACTTACACCAACAAGATGGGATTAGCATAGTGTGAGGCAGACTTAGTAGGCCCAGTGAGGTTCCTGGTTCCTTCATCAACACAGCTGGAGGAATGAGTAGAAACACTGAATGAGGAATGTCCTGATTGGGCCTCTTGATTGTGCTATTTGTCCTGTTTTGAAAACAGACAAACATAAAATGATGTATGATCTTAAGACAGTTTGGTAATTGATGCCTATATTATATGGTCTTCTGAAATATTGATACATAACAAAGTTGAATACCTCATTTATTATGCTTTTTACAGATGGAAAGATACTCCCGAACATCATCAGGAGATCCCAGGACCACAGGAACTCGCTCATGGATGTTGGTGGGCTGGATGTCCAGGACATTCATGGATCCTGTAGTGGCCATGCCTCCCGCCTGCTCCATGATGAAGGCCATGGGGTTGCATTCATACAACAGCCTCAGCTGAAAGACGCAGTAATAGAAGCAGTAATAGGAGTGACTTGATGAAAGGGTAAATGAAAAATAACATGTGTGGATTTTACAGGAACTTGACATGATTTGAAAGGATTCCATAATCAAACGCCTTTTGTCCATGTGTATAAACTCCTTTGCTCACCTTGCCCTTAGGACTCTTGACATTAGCAGGATATAAAAAGATGCCTCCATAAACCAAAGTACGATGAACATCAGCTACCATTGAACCAACATATCGACTGCCATATGGAGCAGAACCATCCTAGAAACACAAAAATATGATGTAGAATTATGAGTCAGTATTTCACATATATTCAATTACACAGTACAGTATAATTAATAATGGTCACTGGCCACCAATCCTCATCAGGCCTTTGCAATGTAATGTTCAAAAACAGTGACTCATTTCCATTACCTCTGGGTACTTCTTCTTTTGTAGGTACTCTGATACATCTGGATAAAAATGCTGTGCATATCCTTCATTCAAACTGTAGATTTTCCCCTTTTTCTTAATTTTCACGTCTCGATCTACCAGAATGAACTCACCAATGGCCTGAAAAATAAATGTAGGGAACTGATGAGAAGCATTGAATATCATAATGAAAAATGACAAATGTGTAAAAAGGAATCATAGAAACAAAATAATATATATGTATGATCAGCTAGAATTTCTGATTCTGTTACAACAATAAACATTAGTCTTACGGGATCAAGCATGAAGCAGTTGACTCCTTGCCCGGTGGAGAGGACCATCATGGTGGCACTGCCATACAGAGCATAACCAGCTGCCACAATGTTTCTTCCAGGCTGCAGAGCATCCTTCTCAGCTGGCTCATCATTTGTCGTCTGTGAAACAACACATGATAAAATATCACAACAGAAAGAGGCATTTTAGAAACCAATACTATTGTTGACACTGCCAGTTAGAATGCTGTTTTCTTAGGATACGGTACTGGGGGGACACTGTAAATATTTAACCTCTTTTTATGGATTCAGGGCCTGCGTACACTTGAACTTAAATTTAAATTTAAATTTTTCATCTACAGTAGTGAATATGTTCACTCTGTGTCTTATTTAAGATCATTGAGTAGTTCTTTATTTATCCATGAGTACTTGAAAATATATAAGAATAAAAGTCCCCTGGTATGTGAGGGGGAAGACCCTACTATAATTCAGATGTAATTATAGTAGGGTAAAATAGTATCAAATATAAAAGTACTCATTATGCAGAAAAATGGCCCCTGATTACTGTGAGTGTAAGGATTGTGGCTGGTAGAGGTGAAGAATTCTAACTATGTTACATATTGTTTAATCTATAGCAATAAATATATTACATGGAGTATGTTATAAATGAAATGCATATGATTTTTCTGCAAGGTTTGATAATTTATTTTATAAACTACTACTGATAAATTATTAGTAACTGTCAGATACATGTGTAAAAAATACAATATTTTCCAATGTAGTGAACTAGAAGTATGTAGTAGCATACAATGGAAATACTCATATTCAAGTAATTACTCAGGACCTGAATAGATGTACTTTGCACCACTGGAACCTACTTTCATTTTACAGATGTTAATTTGTAAAACTCCCGAGAGGGTATAGATTTAGGTAATAAAATAAAGTATAACGCACACACAAAAAACGGCTGATAATAACTTTGGTTTTGAATCAGCATGCAGAATTGTAGTTACTAACCTTTTTGTAGATGGCAAAAATTGTTCCAATTGAGACGAGACAGTCGATGTTTGAGGAACCATCCAGTGGGTCAAAGCACACAATATATTTTCCCTGTCAGTTGAAAACAAAAATTGATCATTGTCACAATAATAGCAGAATAACATGTGGAAATCTACAACATAAAGAAAGAGGACACATAGTTTTGCACAAACATGCATGTTTACACTGTAAGTACCCTCTTATCTGGTTCCACAATGATGGCCTTCTCATCCTCTTCCGACACCAGCACACAGGCGCTGAAGGAGGACTTGATCATGTTGATGACTAGGTCATTGGACAGGACGTCCAGTTTCTTCACCTGGTCCCCTGTCACGTTGGTGCTTCCAGCAATGCCATATCTTCCAAGAGAGGAAAGACGAGTAGACTGTGTTTAAAGCCTGAGTAAAAAGCTTTCCATTCTGATGCAAGTTTAAAACACAATGAAGGACAGGTAATAATCCATTATTAAACTGTGAGAGGTGCTTCTTTAATTGTTTTTTTCCCCAAATATGTTTGTTATTTTGTTAAAATGTTGTAAATGTAAAACCAGTGAGAACGGTCTTAAAAGCACGTTATTTATCTTCTTGACCTCTGCCCTTGTGGATTGTACACAACAACAGAGTTTACCTTTGGACAGGACCTGAGTTAAAAGTGCTCACAGACTCTTGTATCATACTGCAGGTAACGTAAAAAAAAACCTAATGCACCAAAACATAATAGAAATTTAAACTTGCTAATCTAAAAGTAATGTTAATATAAAAGCAAAGCCTTCAAATAACAGTGGCTTCAAACTGATTTATATTATTAATAGGGGTGTACACTGTAATTCCCCCTTCTCAGACCTTAATCTGTACAATAGTTACTAGATGCTCATATTCACCTTCATATTCTAATGCATGCTTGTTTCATTCTATCCCCACCATTTAAAAAAGAAATACTACTCACAGGTTAGCAATCCCAGCCTTCCTGACAGCAGTTGAAATGGCTTTGACAGCTGTGCAGATGGAGTTGAGCAGGTTTGTCAGCTCACCCGTTCCTTGGGCCTTTCTGCCCTCTTCCAGAACAAACCTGGTGAGCGTCAGGACGTTGGTATCAAATTCTCCTTTGTCAGACATTTTGTTGTCAGGAGTGGGGCCGGGACTGGGACCTGATGCCTTAAGTGAAATAGGTGAGCGAAGCCCCAAAGTTAAAAAGTGTACTCTGAGATAGGGGAAGGGACGGGGGTGTGCAACTCTTCCAACCAATCAGAAGTGTCCTTTCTCACAGGTAGGGGTTGGATTGATCAGTTCTGTAACTGTGGGTTCAAAAGGGCAAAGTTTAGAGATAGGGAGCATTTGTTTTGTTTTAAAGTAACAATGGCCTTCGCCTGATTCAATCCCTGCTCATTTTGATTATAGGATTTAGTGGGGGGGGGGGGTTCAGTCTGCACTGTAAAGTTGTGAGGAGAGTTTTCAATGAACAAAATCACTTCATTAAGTCAAATTGTGTGATGTTAAACAGCATTTACTCTCAACACAATTGGATCTTGTTTCATTGTGTTCATGGTGCAGAAGTGCATCATTATTCCAGATACTTTTAACAGAAACATTGTTTACACAGCACTACATTAATTACCCAGCTTAATTCCTATTTCCTTACAGTACATCAACAAATGCTCCATGCTTTTCAAACATATGCTGGATTCCTATTATTACACATTTTATTTGTTTAGCTTTACAAGTGCCAAGCATGAGTTTTACTTTGGTAATCTAACATACTTTAACTAACAGTCATACATTTTCCTTCCCAATAACTTCCCACATTCACAATGCAAAAATGTGCAGAGCTTGTAATGGATATGACAACCTCAGCACTTCTCTGGCCACACTATTAAAACATTCCTTCCCTGCATGATCCTGAAGAAGTGTAAAGTTCAAATCATGGGACTCATTGTCCTTGCCTACCCTGCCAGATTTTATATAACACCCCTAATTTTACATGTGCTGATAAAACAGTATTTGCAAGGTAGGCTAATAGACAGCCATGCTCAGAGGGAGCAGTGGTGCATGTTGTCCGTGTCAGTGTGTCTCTGCATGCATGTGATTAGTTTATGGCAGTCTCTGTCGGTGAAACAAACAGGGAAAGGTAAAAGGACTTGAGTTCAGAGATACTTTACGTATAACATAAGCTTAAGTGAAATGCTACCGAGACCTGTTTCACAACTGAAAGTTAAAGTTGAACTTTGAACTTAACAAGATACCATGCATGATAATAGGGACCACCATGAGGTAATGAATGATGGTTAATCACACACCATTCATAGCTTTTTCGGGTTAATGATAAAATGTAGTTGCAAAGGTCAGCTTTGCAGACCAGCATGTGGGAACTACAAAAATCATATAATATAGTCCCTATTATTTTAGTTTAATGGGTCCCTTACATACAAATACACATGCATACAAAAAAATAGTTTGAATTAAAAATATATATATGTTGTCTGGAAAGAACATTTACAGTAAAATGTACTACTTTTTCCCCCTGCTTATCAAACTGTGTTAAAACACATTTTTTATTGCAATTTGTATTTCTGCACTGTGTCCACATGATGTCACTGTGCAGCTTACAAGCTGCTGAATATAAATGAAGTCTGGTGAGAAGATTCAGTCCTGAGGAGAATGTCAGTCTCTCTGTGCCCTGAATCAGTTTGAGTTTTGTTGTTCTCTGCAAGCAGTCGCTTTAAGGTCCATTCTGCAGGATGTAAGAGTGACTTTCTCCTTTTTACCATTTGTTATTGTATTATAAGTGGAATGGTACACTGAAATCCATGCATATCTTAGGAAAACTCATAGACTCTATCTCCCCAAAGTGAATTTAGGTAATAATACTGAAAAACTGCAGTATATTTAATGATTCTTGATACGTTTTTTTTACACGAAATATACACTAGGAGTTCATGTAAAGAAAAAAAATATAATTGTTGATGTATTGGTCACAACATTCCCTTCTCCTGACAAGAAGCCTGCAAAACACTTGTAAGAAAGATGCTTCAACAAATATGCAATCTTTATGCTATGTAATCGATTCAACAGAAGAAAAGACATGATCAATATTTTATCGGGGACTATTCATCACCTGACTGACTCCCAGGAGCACCTGCTGTGCCTGTTGACAGCCCTGTGCACATGCGCAGTGGCTCTCCTACTCCTGCAGAGTGAAAACTTCTTTCTTCACAGGAATGGCGTTTCACAAGTAAAAAGGTGAAACAAATGAGGGACGTGGATACAAAAGATAACCTCGCGGTCGCATTAGTGTCTCACAATGTGATGTTCGACCATTCCCTACTGGTAAGGCTACTGTGTGACATTATTTTTTAACTTCTACATCACCAAAAAAACCTGCTGTAGGTGTTCCCCTTCACCTCCTGCACAGGTGAGTGGCAGCTCATCACATTAGGTAGCTAACGTTAGGCTAACGGGGGAATGCGCACTGACTTTAGTTTCAGTTGTAAAAGAGAAACAAAGAAAGGTTATAAAGTTAAGTAAGAGTTTTGAGCATCATGTCACAGTTTAACTTTATCTTGTAATTCTCTCATCCTGACCACAAGGTGTCAGACTTCAGCAACAGCCAGCCCTGCTCACTCTTTGTCCCCCTTTTTTTTAGGAGACATTTTGTAATTAAGTCATCGTTAAGTAAGGAATACCTACCTGTTTCAGCAGGTTCTGTTTACATGCCAGTGTCAAAAGTTGAGGAATTATTTGGGGAATTGCACCTTCCAAGCTAAATGATGATGAGGATCTCCTAACCCCCTTTTCAAAACAGAGAAATAGGGGACTTGACCCATTCTAGACCCAACAGTTTTGGCTTGTGACCCTGTAAGACAACAAGCTTTCTACCTGACCTCCCTGTCAGCGGTTACATGTGATTGATTTTCTGTTTCCCTCACTTATTTGGATAATGTTTAGAGTTGACATTTTGGAGCAATTCACAAGAAATGAAGCTGATATTGTTGGGCTGTCCAACAGTTTGCAGCAGTAAATAGGAAATCTTACCTGCCTAAAATATGTACACTCCGATAATATACAATCATTATACAGTTTCAGAACTCACATTTATTCTCAAATGACACAACATATATTGAAAACATATAGTTACCACCACCACGCCTTAAACACCGTGGGACACCTAATGAACAATGTTAAAAAATGACCCCAATTGAAATGAATTGCTGAACCCTCTTGTAGACTATCTGACTTTAAGATGCTGTGTACTAATGGCAGTAATCCTGGTGTTTGAAAACTCACACCCAAAAAAAGTCTCCATAAGTTTAATTAAACAAATAACGGTATGTTATAAGACAAATGACATTAAGCACCAAATGGTTAAGGTTGTTAGGGTCAAGAAAGCATTACTGTTTTTGGTTATGTGCCAAAAGCTAACATGGCACACACAGAGTGAGAGCATATCCCGATAGCCACTGGGCATCAGTCTGTGTGTAAGTTAAGACTGAATGAGGATATGTGAGTTGCTTTGTGAATACAATAGATGTTCTGTACCAGAAATATATATTTAAATAATGGTGTTTTTCTAAGCAGTACAATGTTCTAAAGTAGATGACTCAAAAAGGCGTAAAGCATACATACATTTTAAATCTCATGTTTAAATTCCACTTCTTTGTTTCTTTCCTTGCCTCTCTAATCCATTCATCTGTTAGTTCCAGATTCTGTTTTTCACTGCAAACTTCACTCTGCTCCTCTACAATGAGTTTCCCCAAGTCACTCTGTAACATTCATGTAAGAGCAGCAGAAATAGTTCTATGGGTCACTGTGGCTGATTCTAAAGAGAACTTACTAAACTTATTGGATTTATGGCCTGAGGTTTGATGTCATGTCAACTTGTTCACTCCGGCTTTTGAAGTGTCTTAGATGTCAGTGTGCAGACGGCCTGACTTCTTTTATATTCACATAGTATTTAATTACACATAAATACATATGCAAAATGTTATATCTTAGTGATCCATGTTTAATTGAGGAAGACTGGTTGTACCACCTAGAAATAAATATTTGTAATGATATTTATTTATTCATAGCTATATATTTTTTTCTTATATATTACTTCTGTGCATAGATTGAATGTTCTTTTCTCTGCTGAGTCCTGCTGCTTTTGCTGCTGGAACAACTTCATGTTATCTTATTTTATGTATAAAACAATAACTTTGTTGTAATGTAACCGACTCTCTATGAAGGAAGAAAAATAGTTACTGTATAAGGCACTGATAAACGAAAGCCTATCTACATTCTCCACAAGAAACTGTCCACATGCTGACAACAGAAGGTGCCTACTAATGAGAAAGTGATATGGCATTGCAATGTGGTGAGTCACTGTTGTGCACTGAGGCTTAGCCTTTTGCTCGCTGTACTTTTGCAGAATTAACTATAATATGTCATGGCGTGGTGTTGCATTTCCTTTATGTAAGCAATGTAAGGTTAGCTGTTATTGACTGCTGGACCTGGGCTGGTAGAGAGGAAGGAACTGAACGAGAGATGCAGTAGGACAATGCAGTGAAAGCCAATTATCAAGATGTAAAGAATTGTTAACTTGCTACATTTTTCTTTAATTTACAGACTTATTCAAAGTTCTAACTGGATGTAAAGGGGTCGCTCCATTATTGATACTTTGTGAATCATTTTCATGGATCAAGGCAGTTACATCTTGACAAATGTGTCAGGTAACTATTAATGTTACTTTCTCATAATGCGTAACTGCTGTTCTGTTTCTTGTTCTGGATTTCATAACTTGTATATTTTTTATATGTAATGCACCAATCATGTTTAGCCTTTTGTTTCTAGATGTTACAATTGGATTTTATAATTGCAGAGAAGGGAATGTCTCCATCGACAACAACTCACATTCCTCTGAACTAAATACAATTAAAATGCAGTTATACCTGTTTTATGAATTACAATTTGTATTGTGTGGGTATGTATTCGATAAATGAAAAACATTTCTGTTACTTTTTTGTGTGTTGACTGGCTGAAATACTTGGAAGATGTCTGTGGTTGGTAAAACCTGCCAAGAGTATGGTCAGGCATTTAGAGGGAAAGTTGCAGAGTAATTATAGAGTGGGTTCAGTCTATGTAGAGAGACGTACCATTTGGAGAGAAGTGACTACTGAAAACAGAGTGTCTACACAATTGGTAAATCCTCTTC